ACAACAGCTCAAGGTTCAATTCTTACATACAGCTTTCAACTCGCAGTCTCAGCTTTATGGCTCGTAGTTTTCATAAACAAAGTGATCCTCGCTTGAGGCATGTAAAATACTGTTTAATATTCAATGTTTGAATAGTTCAAATTTCCATGATTTTTTTATCTTTTTTTTTTTTTTTTTTGGGGGGGGGTTGTTTCTTTTTACTGTTCATGAACCAACTAATGGTGAAACAGTAATGTAAGTAAACAACCCGTAAAGTGTTACACAAAGTAGATTTGCATCGATCGGTTCTCATCTTTAGAGCAGTCGTTAAATGTTAGCGAATAATATCTTATACATTTCCTCATTTGGTATCATTATTCATAACTAATTATTGAAACACTTCTGTTATATATTACCTATTTACTTCTAGATAATCTTTAAAGTTAACGGTTTGATTCGTCATACAATTTATCTTTTCCTTTCATTTTCGTATATTCAGTGTTACTCTTACTCATAGTGCGCTTTGCGCATTTGATTTTAAGTTAATTTGGCGCATTACAAATCTTATATTTATACTTCTATTATGAAAATACATGCTTTATTGTACATGTATTTGCCAAATTGATTTAGAAAGATGCATTAGCTGTAAATACACCATATTTCATCCTACGGATATGAGGTTAAATGGTGAGGTCCCGTGCGTAGGACCCACTGCACTATTCATGACGAGACAAGTATGGAAAACCCCTAGTGTAAGCTAATGGACCAACTGCCCATACCAATGAGTTATGTCGGGAGAAGAGATCCATGGCCAAGGATTATGATAATTAAATTCTCCTTATAAGCCACATGTGACGCCGAACGACAAATACTTGATAACCTTTATAACTTTAACAAATACATGAACAACAACAACGCTAATGACAATAATAATAATTTTGAAAATTATGATAATAATGAGTATAGTTCATGATGACAATTATGATTATAATAATGATGATAATGATGATGATGAAAATGATGATTATAATGATGATGATGATAATAATAATGATAATGATTAAGATGATGATGATGATTTTAAAAGAATAATGATAATAACGACTACAGCTCATGATGATGATGATGAGTATGATTATAATAATAATGATAATAACGACTACAATATTTCATGAGGATAACGATCATTGTAATGATGATGATAATAATAATGATGATGATAATGATAATGATAACAATAACATAAATGAAAATGATGGTAATACATGTAGTAATAACAATAACAAAACAATAATAAGTACTTATTTTCCTTTTAGAAATAGTGTCTTATTTGTTGATAGACGTGGAATTTCTTTCTTGAATAAATAACAGTCTTTAAACGAATACTTACCGATCTACCATTAGTACGTATTGATGTTGTTCCGTGTCTTTTCAATCCTCGACATTATAAAGGTGGCATGTTCTGATTCATGTAGGTAATAATATTCCTGTAAAGCGGTTAAAAGAGACACCATGCAACCCAAAGTGAGACAGATCGAAAATTTAATAGAGAAAGAGAGCAAGAAAGAGGGAGATCTACAGAGAAAGCGACAGGGGCAAGGGCATTTTCAATAAAGGGGCGTCAGGGAATTGTTTCGACCTACATAGTCGTCATCTACGAAGTAATCACGGAAGTCACGTACCTATATCATCTCGTCTCCCTTTTAATCTGAACTTAACCAGCAGAGGAAATAAACATGACGTATCGTTCCAACAAGCAATACGAAATATATATACCTGTTCTATATTTGAAGATAAACGTTAATAATTTCTATAAACGTCATGGCCATTTTTCAATGCTCCATTGTGCTTATTGATGGCCACGCCCCTTAAACAAAGAAGGTACCGACTACCGCGGACACCTTCCAGTATGATGTTGTCTTTGACACCTGTGTCCTCAGCCGAACGACTGTGATAATAAGGACGTGCCAAAGAACGAGAACAAATCTATTTCTATACTGCAGGAGGTCTGATTGCGGCGTAGCAAGATAGAAGGGTCGCATCGCAAGGTTCATATCATGTAGGAATCGGTATTTAAGACATGCCAATTCACAAGTTTGTAATTAAAATTGTAATACCTCAGTCACATCGAAGACACCGATGTCTGACCAAAAAAGCACCTATTAAAAAGGTGCATTACTACAATTCAGTGGCCAAGAATCGCTCGGAATAAAGTCGGCTTGGATTTGATTTTGCGCTGGGATCCTCATGATCGGGGTTTAAGCATGTAATAGGTCTATGGTTTAAGATAATAACGTACACACATATACTGTACGCTCCCCATGACGTTCCAGAATCGATTGGGTGTGTTCTGGCATCAGTATAATTCACAATATGAATAAAAATCGAATAAACTTTAAGCCACATAATTTTCTTTGTTTAAACCATGTCTGCATTTTTTCAAATACAATAACTGAATAACAAAGAACATGTAGACGTAAGGTAATATGTTAACTGTAATAACTTCATGTCAAAATGTGATTTACATATATACATATTATAATAACGAATTTATAATTGCTTCTATAAAATAGCATTATAAATTTATAAAATAATCCTAACTATGTGTGGAAAAGTACAGGAGCCCATCATCATAAGCGACGCCTGGTTAGGATAGCGGCCTCAAAAGAAAAAATCTTACGGTGAAATTAAATATAAATGTGTTTATAGTTTCTATTATATTAATACCCTCTTGAAAACAGAAAGAGTAGGAGTCAAGAGAACATTGCCAGTCGTTAAAAGACTTAACAGATTTATATTCTAAATTCAAAATGAGCTGTGCGTGATATTTGGTAAGGTATCAACTGCACTATAAGCATAATATTAACAAAACACATTGATAGATTTAATCTGATAGACAATCATTTACAACCTAGTTCGGACGTCACGAAGAAGAGCTTTTGACTAAAACTGGTTGTATCCATCTTGACAAGAAAAGGAGGACACACGTAAAATAAAAGTGAGATTTATTGGACTGTCATCGGCACGAACCCTCCAAATAATATCATTGTTAAAAGGTGTAAAGGTAAACGTAATCCTATGGTCAACTAAAACTCTCCTAACACGTAAGATCACAATGAAAGTTAAAAAATGGTGCGATTGGTGGTTTTCATAATACACAACCCCAGTTATATACACTATAGCCAATATTAATATTTTAAATATAACTTGGTTAGTAAAAAGGAGGAGGAGGAGTTTCCCGGGCACTCTAAAAGACTGACACGCATCTATCAAGGGTACAACAACAATATACATGTTTATACAAGGGAAAGATGCTTCTTCAATATGAAGGTATACAGAAGCACAAACCAACGACAATGCTCATAGGCAGCTAGTAACTCTCGTATACAACTTAGACATGGCGCAGAGTAAAAGACGTATCGCCATTGTAAATGGTGTTTTTCTCGCGTTTTTGTGGAATTGTAATGTCGTCTTGGTTGAGGCTCGATCCTCTGGAGCACCCGTGGCATCGAACCCCGATGTGTGTACCACAATGACACCAGGCCATGGTATACCACCTTCTGTGACTTCAAGCCCGTACGCCATCAGTGTCAACAGTAATACCTATTCATCATCACAGACACTGACAGGTTAGTCGTAACATATATTATTATCTTTTACTAAATTTCGATTAAAAAATATACTAAAGTATGAATAAAATATTATGACTTAAAACAATATAGTTAATAAATGGGGCTTCTGATTATTCATAATGAATATGGCGGAAATTTGCGTGAGAGAGAGAGAAAGAGATAGCACTAGAGAGAGAGAGATAGAGAGAGAGAGAGAGAGAGAACAAGTCGAAATAAATGAATGATTTTGTGAAAGTATAACAAGTTCAATTTTTAACCTTTAAAACTTCAACAGTAAATGAAGATCTTTATTCGAAAAGCATAACAAATGCTAAAATGCTTGAATAAGGATTCCGGATATATGTGGTACATGCTTTGGTTGTTGAAAATGTGGATGAAAGATACTATGTCCCATTTTCAGGTCAAAAATGAATAAGTTAAATTCCAACGGCATTTGAAAGATAACACTAATTAAGAACTTCCCTCAAAACGAAAGGGCTCGAAAATGTCTTTAAGTGAGAAAATTATAACCATTATCTGTCGAATCGATTTTAGTGATTGCAATCACTAAAGTAATAGACTGATTTTTAGACCCTTGTACCGAATGGTCGTACGTTGTGTGCTGCGCAAAGATTCAATCAGTTTAATTTTGGTCATTACGAGAATTGGGTTATTGATTTAAACAAATGCTGATGTACCCTTTACAGCTCATTTTATGTATGGTAATACAACAACAAAAGTTCTCGGTCACTCAATAGTGTCTGCCAGTGAAGTCTAGAAATTAAACGGGTTTCCTTGCATAATTTGAATATCAGGACACTGCTAAACGTTTAAATTTCACAGATAGGACAAACGTGACATGATCATAATTCCTACAAATTTCTACAGAATTTGATGTTGGCTGCAAATGGGACATAGTACCTTTAAGCCCCACTGCAGTACTTATAGCTACTTGCGCCCTCTAAATAAAAAACAATGCTTAATCGGTGACCATTGGTCCCCCATGCTCCCCTTTTACTTATGTTACCTGAGAGCTGTTTTGATGAGATAGCACATGTCAGTGACCATGCAGGGAGGTCTAATCCCTCCTGGCCAAACAAGTACAGATAGACTTTAAAGCGAACAATACGTAGATAAAATGTTAGATGGTGAGAATGTACATGTACATATTATCGATAATAAGGTAATGTCATTATAAGCTAATCAAGAATTTAAAAAATAGCATTTTAGCCATACAATAAGCAGCTTCCTCATCTCTAAAGCAAGGGATTTAAAAATTAAAAAAACGATGATTAGTCGTCGATTAATTTCATTTGAACTATTTACCAAAAAAGTTATTTAAAAAAAATTATTTATCAAAATTCAAAAATCAAAAATGATTTTCATATTGATTACATTGATTATAGTCACTATCAATACAAGCCCTGGTGCTGGACAGTATAAGGGGATACTTCTCCTAGCACGTAGAGTGGACACCAACGATGTCATCGGTTCTTGGTCAGCCACGGACGCGACCAACTTCCAGACAGTCTCCTGTGGCCAAACGGACGGTGCTGTCACTCATCGGAACAGACTGGACAAGGCATCGACGACTTCCTTTCTTTGGACTGCACCAACTCTTGGTAATGGTGACATGTACATCGCGTAAGTATTGCCTAACAGTGTGGGAGAAAGTGCAACAAATGTTATCATTGCTATCCTATACATTACCGACAGAAAAGAATGATGAACAACAAAAATCAACGTCTAGAGTGTTATTATCTTTGTTATTTGAAGTTTGAAGTTTTATTTATTCCACATTTTAATTTGATAGAATCTTCTGACATATAAAAAATGTTGATGTAGTTGGTCAAGTATGGGACAACATATTGGACTTGCCCTTGTGACTTGCGAATGATTGCACCCCAAATACGATGCTAATGAACGTGGCTTCATTAAGGGGAAAGTCTGTAATTTGTCTTGTTATTTGATCCGACTTGGTAGAATCGTCTAACATGTAACATATAATTTGGATGTTGTCTGTACAACGAATGGCGAAAAATATCTTGGACTTGTCCTTTTTGATTGTGAATTATTGCACCTGCAAATAGGATGCAGTTGAACGTTGCCTCAAAAAGGGAAAAACCCGATTTTCTCTTTCTCTGTCTTTTTACTAATCTCCTCCAGTCTCTCTCTCTCTCTCTCTGTTTCCATCTGTCTCTGTTTGCGTGTGTTTATGTGTGTGTGTGTGTGTGTGTGTCTCTCTCTCTCTCTCAGTATTGTGTGAACATATTTTTTGGCTCTACACACTCATCACACCTCTAACAAAGAAAGGGAAATTCTTAATGTGAAACGTTTGATGTTGGTGATGATGTATTAACATCAGTGGTCATCTATGTTTATTAAAATACAACTACTCATATTTGCTTTTCTTAACTAATAAGACATTTCATAAACTACTTTTCAATGCATTTTCTTTAAAAAAATGAAATTTGATCTACGAAGATTTACATGAACTAATTGAATCAATCATGAGATATTTCTCTAAATAAATCTTTGTATCTCTTTATAAACCGTTGCCCATAGAAATCTGAATATTATCATGACGTGATTGTAGCAATAATATTTATACTAAAGAATAATGAATAAAATTATAATAAGATAAAAACTTTGTCTACCAAGAATAAACCATGTCGTCACAATCATTTCAAGAAAACATGCATTTATTCCTACTTTATGGGCAACAGTGTATATCGTTTCAAAATATATTTTTGCTTGTGTTAACAGAGCAACCTTTGTTAGAGAGTACAGCGTTTTCTGGGTAAATGTGACATCATCTCTTATTCAAGGTGAGTATATGGTTTGCTTTAGTGGCGGATACAGGATTCTCTGGCAGAAGAGTCGAGCAAGTCCGAAAATCTGTTAGGTAAAAAAAAAAAAAAAAAAAAAAAAAAAAAAGGATCATCAGCACATGATTCGTCTTTTCTTTATCCCCTTATTTAATCTTCGGGGGGGGGACACGTGCTCACTGACCCTGGATCCGCCACTGTCTCCACTGATATCATTAGAAGCTGTATTAATATTTTGAATTCCTAATTACAGGGTGATTTTCTTAAATTAAACATAAAAACCGCCATCGAGACAGAATCTCTTTGCTTAGTAATATATACTAAGGTCTACTCTTCTTCCCTTACAATAATGACATGGGTTATATTGTTTCTTTGTTTTTTTAAGATAAATACTCTGGCATGTCGATTTTACTATAAACTTAGCAATAATATTGAAATTGTGTAATTCCTTTATTAACATCGCTTTGATCTTACATGAGTGTGAAGGGCCTTCAGTGAGAAAGTCGTTTCTCGTTCTAAATTCACCAGTTAGATATTTACTTTAGACTGAGCATATACAGCAACCCAGTTTCGGGTGAACGAATTCTTGTAAAAAAAAAGCATATCAATTGCGAAACAATGTAACTACGTTTATGCACCTGCTGAGAATAAGTTTTATTGAAACACCCGCCCCCCCCCCCATAAAAATAATAATAATAACAATAAATTGTTTAAAAATTTAATAAATTATGAAGTGCTCATTATACAGAGGTGCAAAGGTTGTATAGTACAGTAGTGATTTCGTATTGAAACTTGGAGGTCCTAGTTGGAAAGCAAGTCCACGAGCCAGTGCCATTTGATAAGGCATTTTTCCTCATCACAAAGTCCCTCGGAGAGGATTTAAAGCCGTCGATCACCTGGTTGATTACACTTACAACCAAATGTACACATGCCTTTACAGCATTTACGTAAAACAAACCAACGAACCTTGCAACCATACCACATACATTTTTACCTTTTTGTCATCAGCTTTTGACCCGTGTGCTAGTAACCAATGTCAAAATGGAGGAGTCTGTCAACCTTCTACGGGTTCCATTCCTCCTTACATCTGTGGCTGTCCATCTGGATTTAACGGCCAGTTCTGTCAGACAAGTATAACAGGCATGTTACATTCACCTTCACCACATTTGATTGTCCCTATCGCATACAAGTGCGAACGACTATATCTTGAAGAAGTATAATGTATATCGGGTTTTACTAGTATTTTATTTCATCACCCTGACTACTCCACTCCCAAAACGAATGTAACTGTTAGAGATGACCCTGCCCTACCTTTCGTACATAGATCTAAGAATGAGTCAACCCCCGCATCCACTATTTTCATGATAATGGCGATGGCTGGTTTTGTTATCTTTTCTCTTTTGGGTGGTGTTGTTAGGTTTTTTGTTGTTGCTTGTCTCCAACTTTAGGAATACTGTGCTTTCCTGGATACGCCTCGGTTGGAATGTACAAATAACTCTGAATACCATTTATTGTCTTCTCTTTGATTTTTGTTAAGATAATGTGAATACCCAACGAAAAGGGAAATCAGTAGTAAAATCAGTTTTAGCCGAATGGCAAAATAAATGTTGTCTAACCTTTTGGCGTATTTTTTATATTACATTAATTGCATTAATTATTTGAATAGGAAAACAATTCTGTATACATTTAAAGAAAACACCATTGCTTTTTGGTATAATCGCATCTTCACATCACTTTAATTTTCAGATCCATGTGCTAGTAGCCAATGTCAGAACGGGGGAACTTGTAACCCTACTCCGGGACCAAGCCTTCCCTACACGTGTAACTGTCTAGCTGGGTATACCGGCATATTCTGTCAAACAGGTATGATATCAAGAGTATCATATACATCCATCATTTTTGTCTACGTCCATGTATATTTTTAAAACACTAGCGGATAGAGGTACCCAAGTGGTATACGTGTCGTATAGAGGCCAAATAAACGAGCTTGCCACCCCATTCTCGATGGCCTTTTTTTCTTTAATTTTTTTTTTTAATTTGTTGTTGTTGTCGTTGTTGTTGCATGTCAACAAATATTAGGATAGGAATATTGTATTCTCTCTTATAATATCCTACGTCAGCCTCTGGTTGAATTTACAAATAAATCTGAATTTCATTTAATGTCTCTTTTTTATTTCTTTATTTAAAAAAAAAAGTTATTTGTGAATAGACATTTGCATGAGAAATCCGTTACAATATGTTGATTCTGCCGAAAGGCAGAATCAATATCGACCAATCGGTTGACGTATTCGTTTTAATGTATATTAATTGTATCGGATATAGTGCTTTTGTCATCTGCATCAAATCATGACGTCCATAAAAAAACGTTTTGGATTGAGGCGTATAAATATAGTAAAACAAAAACATTGCTTTTTTGGTATAATCACATCTTCACACCATTCTAATTTTCAGATCCATGTGCTAACAACCAATGTCAGAACGGAGGACTTTGTAATCCATCTCCGGGACCAAGTCTTCCCTATACCTGTAACTGTCCGGTTGGATTTACCGGCATATTCTGTCAAACAGGTATGATATCATAAGTTTAATGTCCGTTGTCTGTTTATATATGTAGATTTATATATTTCCCTTGCGTAAATAGGTCCAAGAATGAGTCAACCCTCGCATCCACTATTTTCATGACTAAGGTGATGACCGGTTTTGTTATCTTTTCTCTTTTGGGTGCTGTGTGGGGCTGTGGGCAGTGTGGCTGTGGTTTTTTTTTCTTTTTTCTTTTTTTTTTTTTTTTACTTCTCAACAAACTTTTAGGAATACTGTGCTCCCTCTTATCTAATATCTTGGATACGCCTCGGTTGGAATGTCCAAAGTAACTTGAATTCCATTTAATGTATCTTCTTTGTTTTGTGTTAAGAAAATGTATTTGTCAATGGGAAATTAGTTAAAATATCGCTTTTTTCCAAAGGGGAAAATCAATATTGTCTAATCTGTTGACGCATCGTGTATATTACATTAATTGTATTAATTAATGGAATGGGAAAATCAACATCCGTAAAGCTTCATAGAGATTCAAAAAATAAAGTGAGTGAAATATGACCTCGAACTTTTTCACCCGAAATTGGACAAAGAACTGTTAATTTTGAAGAAAGATTTTTTTAACGAACTTTCATCTTTACCAAATCATGACATTCATGATATAACTTTATAGAGTTAGGCGTAAACTAAAAAAAGAACATTCCTTTTTGGTATCATCGTATCGTCACAACATCTTCAGGTACGGATCCATGTGCGATTAGCCAATGTCAGAACGGAGGACTTTGTAATCCTACTCCGGGACTAAGTCTTCCCTACACGTGTAACTGTCTAGCTGGGTATACCGGCGTAGTCTGTCAAACAGGTATGACTCTTTTTATTATCACCCATGTGATTTCTATCTTTACAAAGGTACTTAATACACTTCAATGATATGATTAAATTAGCAATTTACTAAAAACTTGGGTCACCTTGAACCTCAATACTATTATGTTTCCTGACACATGTTCACCTCTATCAAACCGAAATGCAAGTTGGTATAACCCTTTATTGTTGATGAGACGTCTCTTTATTCATCTTCGTCTGTGTGCTGGCAATTATCTTAAAATAATGTCTACATCTTGTATTACCAGCTTTGGATCTCTGTGCTAACAACCAGTGTCAGAACGTAGAATCTTGCAGTCCTATGCCGGGTTTCAACCCTCCATACTTCTGTAATTGTCAACCTGGGTATCAAGGACAGTTCTGCCAAATGGGTTTGTTTCTTCCTATATTTCAATCGTCCTTCTGAGCATAAATATCACACACATTTTCTTGTATGTGTCTCCTTTTTTTTTTTTGCTTAACGTCAAAAGATTAACAAAATGATATACATATAAGGGTACCAAACATTTCAGAATAATGCCGCCTGAACCTTTTACCTCCTATAGAACTTTTCAAACATCCCAGTAAACCGAAAGCCCACCTGACCGAAAAATGTCGGTCATAAGGGTCGTCTGTTTCGCGGGCTTACGTTCTCGTGGGCTGTGGCCGGAATGTTGCTCTGCATTTGTCAAAGGCTACATGCAATAAGATAGACGATGTAGGCCCTACTTACCGCCCACATTTCAATGTATTTCGTCTGACGTAAAGAGTTTTAAACCCCATACATACATATTTTACCCATGTTTCATCATTTATCATTTTATTTTTCATACATTTTTTGGTAGCATTTACATATATTTCGCTATATTTTCTTAATTATGCACCGTGTATCTACCTCCGTTTGCGACATCCAAGTAGACCACGACAGCCGACAAGACATAAATTGTTAGTCATGGGCTATCGGTCTTGTAGGCTTTCAGGACCATGTACCGTCAGTCTCTAAGGCTGCAGAACGCTAACATTTCAATATATTATGACTGACGTAATGACTTTATGAATGTGTTATTCATGTTTCCTTCTATAATACGTTTTTTATAATGACACATTTGATCGCTATTATATAAAATTCTTCTAGCTTTAGATTCATGTGCAAGTAGCCAATGTCAGAACGGAGGAACCTGCAATCCTTCTCCGGGACCCAGTCTACCCTACACGTGTAACTGTCTAGCTGGGTATACCGGCATTCTCTGCCAAACAGGTATGACTTATTTATTATCAGCTTCATGTGATTTTGAATACACTTCAATTATTTTATCAATTAGCAATTTGTTGAAACTTGGATCACCTTGAGCTTCGATACTATTACGTTTCCTGACACATGAGCACCTCTATCAAACCGAAATGCAAGTTGGTATAACCCTTCATTGCTGATGAGACGTCTCCTTTAACATCTTCGTCTGTGTGCTCACAATGATTTTCAAATAATGTCTACATCTTGTATACCCAGCTTCGGATCTCTGTGCAAACAACCAGTGTCAGAACGTAGAATCTTGCAGTCCTATGCCGGGTTTCAACCCTCCATACTTCTGTAATTGTCAACCTGGGTATCAAGGACAGTTCTGCCAAATAGGTTTGTTTCTTCCTATATTTCAATCGTCCTTCTGAGCATAAATATCACACACATTTTCTTGTATGTGTCTCCTTTTTTGTTGTTGCTTAACGTCAAAAGATTAACAAAATGATATACATCTAAGGGTACCAAACATTTCAGAATAATGCCGCCTGAACCTTCTACCTCCTATAGAACTTTTCAAACATCCCAGTTAACCGAAAGCCCACCTGACCGAAAAATGTCGGTCATAAGGGTCGTCTGTTTCGCTGGCTTACGTTCTCGTGGGCTGTGGCCGGAATGTTGCTCTGCATTTGTCAAAGGCTACATGCAATAAGATAGACGATGTAGGCCCTACTTACCGCCCACATTTCAATGTATTTCGACTGACGTAAAGAGTTTTAAACCCCATACATACATATTTTACCCATGTTTCATCATTTATCATTTTATTTTTCATACATTTTTTGGTAGCATTTACATATATTTCGCTATATTTTCTTAATTATGCACCGTGTATCTACCTCCGTTTGCGACATCCAAGTAGACCACGACAGCCGACAAGACCTAAATTGTTAGTCATGGGCTATCGGTCTTGTGGGCTTTCAGGACCATGTACCGTCAGTCTCTAAGGCTGCAGAACGGTAACATTTCAATATATTATGACTGACGTAATGACTTTATGAATGTGTTATTCATGTTTCCTTTCATAATACGTTTTTTATAATGACACATTTGATCGCTATTATATAAAATTCTTCTAGCTTTAGATTCATGTGCAAGTAGCCAATGTCAGAACGGAGGAACCTGCAATCCTTCTCCGGGACCCAGTCTACCCTACACGTGTAACTGTCTAGCTGGGTATACCGGCATTCTCTGCCAAACAGGTATGACTTATTTATTATCAGCTTCATGTGATTTTGAATACACTTCAATTATTTTATCAATTAGCAATTTGTTGAAACTTGGATCACCTTGAGCTTCGATACTATTACGTTTCCTGACACATGAGCACCTCTATCAAACCGAAATGCAAGTTGGTATAACCCTTCATTGCTGATGAGACGTCTCCTTTAACATCTTCGTCTGTGTGCTCA